CACACACACACACACAAATGTAGCTGCTAAAGCTAACGCAAACTTAACACTTGGTTTGAAATGATATATTCACAGAGCAGATGCCATGATATGTCTTGAGCTACTTCTGCTATGCCAAATGTAGCTGGTAATGCTACTGCAAATGTTGATACTCTGTTAGAAATGATATTTCAAGCGAAGCTTTATTCTTAGTCCAGGTGTATAGATGACTCACAGAATACTCAAAGCTAGGTGGATGGGTTTTTAAATATTCAACTTAGCCTATGCTTATGTGTGAAGAGGATTAGCATATATTTTTCAGACATTTGGACCAGCCAAGTGTAATTGAAAGGAGTAATCTGGACCCCTTTTTCACCGTTTCTGAGGAAAAGCTACAATTACTTCTGCCGTACTCGTTCTTTTCTGCTTATTACAAGCTTATTCCACCAATAGCTTCTTTTAGCATGCAAGCTAGAATGCATGTTGAAAGAGGGTTCCTTCCCGATGAACTCATTATTCCGCAGCACTCACCCCACTCACTGACACACTCCACATCTACCCCTGACTGTCACATCTGAGCAAATTCATGCAATCGTGCCCACAATCCTTTAGACTGAAGATAATGCAGGCATGGTGAAGTGCGGCTAAATCTTAACCACAAGTGTAACCTAGCAGTTAGTCAAGGCGCTGAGGGGAAAATTGACCTGTTCCATTTTAGTTGAGAGGCTGAGCATGTGCATGTTTTTCAATATGTGTTGAAGCACAAGATTGTGGCAGAATTTTCATTTGACTCAAATTTGAACTTAATTCCAAATGTAAGGATTGGTTCCATTTGTCCATGAAACATGCACAGAAAATTCAGCAAGTAAATGTTCTTTTAGTTATTAATTCAAATAAGCTACATTATCTCATTTTACACGTGAATTTCAACACCAAAAAGGGAACAGGAGGATCACCAATGCATTTCAAACAACTGCTTCCATCGACTAAGTTTTGGAAAATCCATATACTGTACTGGCTGGCCTATGTGGAGTAATTCTATGTTATTTCTAGGCTAGGAGGGAAAATTAAGACATGAAACCTGTCATTGAGATGATTCCACTAAAAAAAGACTAGATGGTTGGTGTTGGGG